TTTACACCGGAAACGGAGGTGGGAGTGGCGAGCGAGTGGGCAGATTCTCCGCTAGTCTGCTTTAACACTTTTCCCTCGCGGTAGTTCGCTGCATTGCTTCTGCTTGCTGCAGCTTTCGTGTTGCTTGCCCAGTTTACCTCCATGTCTTTTGTGGCCTGCTTCAGCGTTTGCTGCGACTGTTGGAGTGCGTGGTGCCGATCGTCAAAATCGACAGGGAACTGTCGTGTATGCATATGGTGAGAGAACTTTTGAATTTGGATCAAAACTCTGTTCGATTTGTTATAAGTTAGAAGGCAGGTCATTATATCTCGTTCAGTATAAAACCTTACTGAATGAAAGGTTGCACAGCATAACATTTGTCGCTCGCTCCCCAAACTCATTATTTTACATTTAGGCATGCATTCGACTGTCCATAATTTGCGAGGTGCTTCTAAATTGCCAAATAATCTCAATACTTTTGAAAAGGTGAATACAGTATACTACAAAAAGCTATGAAAATAAAAATATTTGCGTAAGCTAACAATCCTTCCGCTTGTTATAATTTACCACTCATCCTTTAAACCCCGAGCTTGTAGTTTGAGCGCTAAAACAAAGTTGGTTCTCCATTCACACTGTTCCTTGACTGAACTGACCGTCTGGATTATTCACCGTTAGACTGACTAGATGATGCTGATAGTAAACAAGGGTGGTTTAAACATATTGCGTGTAGTATCCAGTATAAATGTTGCGCACTGTCCTCATTTGTTGCGACAAATGTCAACAACAGGTCTGTTCCGCTTTATCTAAACGTTCTTTAGCTGCTTCTGTGAATTACAGCACGAAAAAGGGGATTGCAGTGCTACAACTTAACAACAAAAATTCTAAAGTCATAACCTTGACGGCAGCGCTCTCCAATGAACTGAACCAAGCTTTTCAAAAAATGCAAGATGACCCCTCCGTGAAAGCTGGTGTCATTATATCTGCCAAACCAGATTGCTTTCTTGCTGGAGCGGATATCTCTATGCTCGCTGCCTGCGAATCTGAAGCGGAAGTCACAAATTTGTCGACGTAATTTCTAACCTTTAATTAATTTTCGTCTTTTTAACTTAATATCCACTCGCACCTATTTATGCTTTCAGTAAATTTTATCATATAAATGAATGTTCACATAAATAGCTTGTTCTTACCCCATGTAATGCATGATATATATTATATATATGCGGTTTCATCGAATAATTTACACGATATTGTTTTTAAAACCCACACATATGCATTAATTTTTTGTGTGTCACACGATTTTTTTTTGCAAATATTTACGGTATACCTGATTGCATCTACGCACTAAGACCTAGTTTATTGTTAACCCAAACAATTGTGGTGATGTGGCGTTTGGTTATTTAATTGGCCGACAGTATTCAAACCGCCCAATCCGCCGAGTCTTACTGACTCAACTTCGATGTGGAATCAATAAGAATCACTGAGTTGGGCGGTTAGAACACCATCAGCCGATTAAATAACAAAACGCCACATCACAACAATTGTTTACGGTTAATAAAGTAGGTCTTGGCGACTAGATGCTATCAGGGTTGCTGGCAGCTGAACATTTTCCTTCGACACTACAACCAGAGTATAAGATTAAACTATTATTTTTATTTTTAAGGGGAGCCCAGAAGCAACTGGCTGATTTTGAGGCAGGGCCAAAACCACTTGTCGCTGCAATTATGGGTACCTGCCTTGGAGGTGGGTTGGAGCTGGCGCTCGCATGCCAGTATCGCATTGCAGTTAACGACAAAAAAACTGCACTGGGTTTCCCAGAAGTCAAACTGGGACTCTTACCGGGAGCTGGTGGCACACAACGTGTTCTCTCATCGGTGCTTGCTGTTGATCAAGCATTAAAACTCGTACTCACCGGCTCGACTCTAAATGCGACAAGGGCGAAGAAAGCCGGCCTTGTGCACGAGGTAATCCAACCACTTGGCCCAGGTATTCAGTCAGCCTCTGACAATACTTTGGCTTACCTTGAAGCCATCGCCGTCGATAAGGCTTGGTAAGTTTTCCTACCGGAGACTCTTGCAGTAATTATTTTTCTATGAATCGGACGTTGCGAACAATAACATTTAATTCGAAAAGATGTTTCGAAGCAGTGAGCTTATAATCTTTCTTGTGTTTTGGCATATAAAGAAGCTGGGGGCAATTTTTTAGCAAACTGACTATAAGTGTAGTCCCTATAGAGCGCTACCAAAGACTATCAATGCCCTCGCAAGTTTCTGTTTTTAAAATGTGACCTTGTTCTCTTTTATCATATTTAAGAGTCAGTCACCTTTAAGATAATCATTAAAATCAAAATATAAATTTGGGAACCCAATTATGTTACTAGTGCAGGCTAATATGCACTTCCTTCAAGAGTATAGTTACATTTACTGGGCATTTTGCCTTCGAGCCCAACAACACGGTAGTGGTTTGTGAAACTCAATAAAATGTCGATAGACCGCTTTCACCTCCTTAACTCCTCAATACTTTTCTCAATTTTATTTCGTATGTGTTTTAGTGAGTTGGCTGACGGAAAACTTACTCCATCCAAACCAACTCTATCTTTGGTCCAAAGTAAGTCGTTTGCGATCGTAAATTTAGTTGTATGGCTTTCTTCGTTTGCAGACAAAAGACAGGGTTTACATTGAATTCGTAAACTATTACAGAGTAACCGAAAATTTCATACACGGTATGTTTGTGTCATTAGTTAGGTGGAATGCGTTTCTTCCACCCACAGTATTTTTACCGTCTTTACAGAAGGCCGATAAGAATTCTAATCGAGCTCCAACTTGGCCCTGATAAACTGCAAACGTCAATCTTAAGACCGATAGCTTTTAAGTGGGGCAAGCGGTAGTTCTTATAGATATCCAATACAGCTTTGTTATACCACTTCTGATTCATGTTACGCGATTAAAATTGTAGTGTTATTCTTAATTAAAGAACATTTTCCAAAATACGGTTGGTATAGATTGGTTGTTTTTAATTCAAAGCTGTACAGTTAAAGGGGTGTTTCATCTGCTTCTGTGATAGCCTTCTCTGTCACGCTCTCCGGTACTTCATCTGCCTCCACAGGCATCGACACGGTAATCTAAAATACAAATGAGTACGGACTCGCAAAATAACGATTGGAAGTTCAAATGTATAAGCATAGAGTTCCCTCAACCAAACTGAATTGAAGCTTCAATCAACGGGCGAGTATATTTCAAGAACCCTTTCTTTCTACGTCTCGGTGCATGTTCTTGACTTAAGTCTTTTTTTTTTGTTTCGCCTCCCTGCAGAAGTTATGCGCTATTTCGTAGGCACCGCCTACGGACGTGGTGTCTTCTTCGACCGAGCCAAGAAGCAAGTCATGGCCCAGACTAAGGGCCTCTACCCTGCTCCGCTCAGGATAATTGAGGTAGGCAAGTCGGACATAATGCCATCATTCATTCTGTCGTCTGATAACTCCCTTCAGTGAAGTCACAGTGAAAGAGCGGGGAAAGTGAGGCGCATGGAATGTCTTGAACTGCCACCTACAACGCGGTATTGGCATGTTTATTGATCTGGTTGCACTACAAAATATGCTCGTCCCGTCGCGTCTTAATTTTCATTTTAGAATTCTCATGGGCAGTCGCATA